GGGAACTCCAGCTCCTGTCTCTGAATCTTTCATTTTTATGGCTGTGAGAAATTCATTAATTGTCTGAGAGCCTCCCCTCTCCCACGAATGAGGAATAGGGCACTTGGTTATAACGAGTGCTGTGAGACCTGCCTGCATTTATGAGGTCCAGCAGGGCTTTGAGCAGCGTATGTGTGAGCTCTAACTATTAAATAGCCCTGGAAACACTAGTGAAAATGTCAGGCTGACTCCATTAGTGAGCTCTCTGTTTCAGATGTTGCTGTCTGGGGAACATTTGAGAAGAGCAGAAGGAAAAAAGAAGCTGCCTTATTAGAGGAGACATACCTACCGAGAAACTGCTCTGAGCCTTACAGCTGTTAAAAATGTTCCTCTTCTTTTTTCTTTTTTTTTTTTTATTATTTTACTGAAGTCTTACCAGAGAAGGAAAATAATTTAATATGGCATTTCTTCCAGGTTCCCTGACGGGTTTATTATATAGATAATGTACTAAAGGTCAGTCGTGGCCACGTTCCCATGGTGAAGAGCCCTCGGCCGCTAGTTTGTGCTCTGCCTCTCTTCGAGGATGCTGGGCTGGGAATATTGCAAGGCTCCGTTTTGTGTCTCGGGATTTTTGTGGTTGTTTTTGTTGATTTGTTTGCTGGCTGTTGCTGCCATTGGCATTTAGGTGCGGGTGGCCCACCGGGTTGGTCTGAGCTCTTTGCTCCAGTACTGGTGTTTCTGCTAAATTTCTACGGCTCACTAGCGATAAAGTTTGTGTGGGGGTTAAATGATTCATATCTGTACATAATTACTTAAGGATGATTAAGTAGATTAATCAAGATGGTTAAAATGAAAACTGGTGTTCTGCTTTTCCTGTTCAAAAAAAAGAAGTTTTTGCTGTTCACTGAAATCTAAGAGACTTCTCTCATTCCCCTGTTCCTCAAACTGGAAACAAGTATCAAAATGCTCTCAAAGATCATTTAAGAAAAAAAAAAGTCTAACTTAGGAACAATCTTTTTCTCATACTCCTTCCCCCTCCTCCCTCTCTTCAAATTTTAAGAAGGCTGGATTATTTCAGTGCGCACTGGCAGGGATAAAATTCTAAACTTTTGGATCCTTTTACACACAATGTTCTGGCATTGCTGCTTATCACAAACTGGGGTTTGTGTCTGTCTGAAGTGCAGCTGAATGTCTCCCATCTTCTTATCTATAAAATCGAGGGGAAATAGAAACCTTGAAAGAACTTTGCTACCAATCTAGTTCAACTGAAAGTAGCAAGACTTGTTTTAATAGTTGTGACAAAAATTGTGGAAAATAAACAAAAAAGCCCCTACCCTAAGGTTTCCTTGTTTTAAAGATATTCACTTCAGCCTTACTGATGAAAGAAAGGGAAGTTTATTACAAAATAATTCTAAGGACGATGCCTTGCATAAAACTTCCATGCAAAATGTGTTTCTGACTGTACTTCTGATTATACTTGTCACCTTCCAAAAATGTATCTTTTAACAGCTAGTGCTGCTTTTTCATGTGTTTTGAGTACCTTGCTTTCAGAGGCACTACCCTAGTGTTGGCTGAGCCAAGAACCATAAATTAACCCAGAAAAAGTCTGGACTTTGGTTAAAGGGGCGAGGAAGAACAAGGAGGAAGGGAGGGAGGAAGGAAGAAGGAAGGAAGGAAGGAATTGATTACTTGATTGATTCCATTTATAACATTTGTAACTGAGTGAACTCCCATCAAGGTTTTCTTTAAAGATGTTTTTCTTGAGCTTTGTTCCATTTCTGTCCAAAAGGAGGAGGGAATAGCTCAGGCTTGTATAGAGATGAACCTGGCAGTGTTTTGCATTAAAATTGATGGGGTTCTGGATTTACAGAATAGAAACAGTCTGAAATCCATCCCTCTGCCAGCTTGAGTCTTGATGTTTCACTCAAGATGCATTTGAATACTGGTATCTGGTGATGGCTTGTTATATGTTACAAGTCCCATGCTGCTTTTTAAACTCTGCTTCTTAAGGAGAAAAAGAGCGAATAAATCTAAGCTGTGATTTCTCTGCCAGTGGGGTATGACTCCAGGAAGAACATGTTACTAGCTTACTCATATCTCTGCCATCTCCATTTGATTTAATACAGGAGTTTCACTGGCAGTTAAAGGAGCTGCTAGCTAAAACTTCTGCCACTAAAAACTTACTCCCGTGTACAGGACACCATTGTCACTTTGAGCTTATTATTGTCCGTGAGAAATGAAAATTGGAAAAATGGAGCCATTCCCCAGGCTGAAATCCTGCTACACACACACACATTTTTTGTATGTGTATATATATATTTTTTGTTGACTGTTTTTTACTTGTTTTAAGAGTTATGGCAAGAGTTAAGCCAAAAGCATTTCAAATTTTTGTGGTGTAAACTTGGAGGTTAATCCAAGGGGGAAGCCATTCGGGGGGAAAAGATATAGTGAACTCTGAGCAGAATAAGTACATTTATGTGCCATGTTGTTTTCGTTTTTAAAAAAATGAAAAACCTCTTCTTTCAGCTTTATTAAAAAGCCTGAAAAAAAGCTTCTCTACTGGATTTATCAATAAGAATTTCTCCAAGTTTTGTGTGAAGAGCGTAAAGATGTGTGGTAATTTCTGATTGTCAGGTCTGTTTTTTAGCTCCGTTCTTCTGTTAAAATATTGACAATATAAACTGTTGTTTTCCTCTTTTCTCTACACTGATGTAATTCACTTGTTACTAACGTATAAGCTCTCAGCTTAGATTGCTGAGGGACATTTATTGGAAATCAAGGATACTTGAACAAGGATACTACATATGAGAGGTTTTTTTTTTTATTATTACAGCAGCATCTAGAGGCCTTATCTGAAATTAGGCTGCCTGTGCTAGACATTGGAGAGGCAGCAGTTGCCCTAAAGCAGTTGCCTGACATCCCAACAAGACTGCAGTGCCCCTCAAAACTGGGGTAAAAGGCGGATGAAAATATTTATTCCTCCTTGGCTCTTGGGATAGCGAAGCATCTCGCTCAGGTCACGTAGATGTGGGAGCGCTAATCTGGTGCTTCACCCCGAATTGAGCTTATCCCAGGCGGGTGAGAAGGCAGCTTTAATCTTACAGAAGACCTCAAAAGCTCAAACTAGAATAAACATTTGCGATGGTGCACATAAAAAGAATAAGATAAAAGGGTAAGATCTTGGTAAGGAAGAGATTTTTCTTCCTGAGAAACAGAGCGTTTCTTCTGATAAGTGTATTTGCTAGTCAGGCAAAGACAAAATGCCCAAAGCTGGTTTAGCTACAAAATCTTTTGGGAAGGGTTTATTTCTGGCTGAAAATTTTGTAAAGTTGCTATGCTAACTGCACAGGACTCTTCTGTAAACTCTTCCTTCACTTTGGTGAGGATTTTTTAGTCTAGTTTGATGAAGGGTGCTGCTATTCACACAGAAAAGCTTTCTCTGATTTGGATAGCAGCTTTGTTCCAATAGTGATCGAGACTGGATAACTGTGCAGGCAGTGAAGTTTTCAGGGTGACTGTCAGTGGGGTAAATGTTGAAATAATGTTTCATTAGGACTTTTGTCATCAAAATGGTCCTACGTAGAAATTCTGAAATTAATATGGATATTGAGGATAACTGATCTCAAAAACCCCTTAGGGAATAAAAATACATATTTGGCTTGTGGAACAGAGCTATGAAATTTAAATTAAAAGTGTGATTAAAACTGAAATTCAAAGTTTGTGCTATGGTTAAAGTTGTAGAGTAGCTGGGTATCAGGGCTGTGCACCCAATGTACTTAAGCCTTTCATTTTCTGGTGGTTGTTCCGTGTGAACTGCCCTGTCAGGCACTGAGAATGGACTGCTCTGAAGCAGCAGACCTGGCGGGGGCTGCACTTGTGGCCTTCCCAACAAAGTGTTTGACTAATCGGTGCGGGAATTCTCCAGGTGGGAACCTGGGAGATCCAGCAGGTACCTCCTGCTCCGCTTATGCCAATTTGTACATGCCCATGCGTTGATTCAGAATCTGGCCCTCTGAGACTGTCCAGGTGGTTCCTGCAGTGAAACTGACCTAATTTTACCCGAATAAGACCCTTACAAATACTCAGTGCAGACCATTCCTGCGGCTGCAGTCTTTTGCGTGTAGTTACACCATTGGGAGATATTTTGCATGTAGTTAAGGTTGCTGGATCATGCATACGCTCAACGTTCACACAGGACTACAGGCCAACAGGGTTTCAGGAGCACAACAGGTTGGGAGAGTCTCACCCAGTCTCTTGAGAAGCTCTATTGCAATGACCCTTGCAGCAGATACTGCCACTGCCATCCAGACAGTGAACATCCTGTTTGTGAGATTTCATTCCCCACACGAGCACTGCCCTATGCAAAGATCCCAATAAATTACCTTTCTTTAATAGAAAGACTTAATAGAGGACTTCTGTCCACGTCCTCTATCTCTGACCAACTAACTCAAGTGTAGAGTTATAACCTGAGTATCTACTCCAGTGTGGAATTTGCAATCACTATCCACAAATAGGACAAAATAAAAATAGTGAAAGAGAGCATAGAAATTAAATATTACATGGATCACGTGAACCATAGGCATGGATCCTTACACAAGTATCCTTTCTTTCAAAGAGCAGCTCACTGTGTACAGTTACAGCAAATAAGTACAAATAAATACCTAATGTGTAGAGTCTGCTCAACTAAAACCTCATTATGCACAGTCAGAAATTGAAATTTATTTGTACAAGACTTGAATGGCATAGGAGAAGCACAGAGATTCTGAGATTTCATACTGTGCCGTTACCTGATAGCTTGTTGTGATGTCTTCATACGAACAGCCCAGATGCTTTTGGTAATTACGTATATAGATTTTGGTTTTGGATGGAGAAATGAAAGAAATTACTTTCCAAAGTAATTTTCACTTACATAATCAGAGAGGGGGAAAAAAGGAACTTCAAGTCATTTTATGTGAACAGAATCATTGCTGTCCAATCAGATAGATAATAATTGCTCTAATTGTGAAATGAATTTACATTACCTGGATTCGGTTTTCCAGTTTGATATTGTCTTGAATTGAAAAACCTGAAATAATAAAGATTAAGCATGGTTTAAAAGTCTGGTTCTGTAAATTAGAGATTAGGCAGCAATGCTCACCATTAAGATTTGTGCTGAAAATGTGTGCAGGCCAGATCTCACCTGCAGAGAATGTTTGGTTAAAAGTCACTACAAAATTCAAGTCCCTGTCCAATTTTCTGTTCTGGTGTTATACTGTTCTTACTGTTTGCTCGTATAAGTTTATTTGGACCATACTTCATCTTTGGCAATCACTTAAAGCAATAAATCAGCCAGATAATTGATGACATTTCCTGCAAGGCAGCTGCTTTTCACAATATCTAGGGAATTTGCCACAACCGTGATTATCCATGAATAATATGCTTTAAAAATAGTTAAGTAAGCAATAAGAGTCAAGAAAGCAAAATGCAATGAAATCTAGAGAAGCTCTAATGCAGTTTAGTGCTCTACCTAGTTAACTTGGAAACAAATTAGTGTTCAATTTTCCCATGATTATTGTTATGTTTAGCAGCAAGGTACTCCTACTTGTTGATAAGATGTGTTCCAAATAGATGCGGAGAACACTTGATTTTTGTTTCTTTTTTTAATCCGATTTAATGATTTTGAGGTATACAAGATATGATTAACAGTTTGTAGAACACTAATTAACTTACAACAAGTCTATTTAAAATACAGCAAAATAAAAAAAAAGAAGCAAATAAGTTACAGATTGAGAGAGAGCGATTAGATAATTTTAATCATTCTTTTGGAATTTACAAAGAAAAAAGCTTACTCTCGAATTATTGGCGCAAGTTGAGTGCCAAGATTTTCACAGTGAAACCATTTTTCAAAGAGGACATCAGTTGATTCTCCAACATAGTATCTAAGAAATAAAAACATTAGTCATTCTTTTTATTAACTAAATGTTGGGGGAGTTTGAAGAAAATAGCTACTTGATGTATGTAAATGTGGAAATACCATGCTACTTTACCTAGTTTTTTTTAAAGGAGACTGTTTTTTCCCCCTCATAGCTGACTCATGGGTAGAGTGCTTAAATGTCTATAGAGGCCCTGGTAGTTTTGCTGAGCAACCGTGGGTAAATTAACAAATCCCTCTAGGAAACTTTTAGGATTTAATCTTAGAAAGTTTAATGAGGCTGTTTTTTCCCCTCATTGCTGACTCGTGGGTAGAGTGCCTAAATGTCTACAGAGGCCCTGGTAGTTTTGCTGCGCAACCATGGGTAAATTAACAAATCCCTCTAGCAAACTTTTAGGATTTAATCTTAGAAAGTGAGTTGGGCCATAGCGTTTTGAGATGGTCAACTTGTAAACTTGCTTATTGCCCATTCACAGTTTGACTGAAACGGTGGCTTCCTTGTGAAAGGTTGGGAGGTCCTTCAGTTGTGTCAGTCTGTGAGGCTTCTCTGCAGGTGAACCTCTTGCTTCACTTTTTATGTCTTAATAAATAAGTAGTGTTGAGATCAACAGATCAAGCTTGGTGTAATTTATGGAATGGTAAAGTGAAGCTTACCAACAGATCAGGAAAATACAACTTCAGAGACAGGCAAAGAACATCACTTATATGGCAAGTGATTGCAATATGTCTCCCTTGGGTGTAAGTGAATGGAATTTATGTTTCAAGCAGAAAAACAAGGCTTATGATTATACTGTGAATGTGTGTGTATTTATGTATTCACATTTGTCTTGTGTATCT